ACCTTTAATGACCTTTAATGACCTTTAATGGCATTAATGTCACTGCCCAGGATGCGCGCTGGCTGCACCCAAGGTTTTGCCAAGGAATGGTACCTCTGTCACATTTATTGAAATTTAATAACCTTTAATGACCTTTAATGACATTTAATGACATTTAAGGACCTTTAATGACCTTTACTGGCCTTTACTGACCTTTACTGACCTTTAATGACATTTACTGACCTTTACTGCCCTTTCCCGGCATTCCCAGCACTGCCCAGGGTGCGCGCTGGCTGCACCCGAAGTTTTGCGAAGGAATGGTATCTCTGTCACATTTAATGACATTTACTGACCTTTAATGACATTTAATGACCTTTACTGACCTTTAATGACATTTAATGACATTTAATGACCTTTACCGGCATTCCCGGCGCTGCCCAGGGTGCGCGCTTGCTGCACCCGAAGTTTTGCGAAGGAATGGTACCTTTGTCACATTTATTGACATTTAATGACATTTACTGACCTTTAATGACATTTAATGACATTTAATGACATTTAATGACCTTTACTGACCTTTACTGCCCTTTCCCGGCATCCCCGGCGCTGCCCAGGGTGCGCGCTAGCTGCACCCGAAGTTTTGCGAAGGAATGGTATCTCTGTCACATTTAATGACATTTAATGACATTTAATAACCTTTAATGACATTTAATGACCTTTACTGACCTTTACTGACCTTTCCCGCAGTACCGGCGCTGTGCAGGGTGCGCGCTGGCTGCACCCGAGGTTTTGCGAAGGAATGGTACCTTTGTCACATTTATTGACATTTAATGACATTTAATAACCTTTAATGACATTTAATGACATTTAATGACATTTAATAACCTTTAATGACATTTAATGACCTTTACTGACCTTTACTGACCTTTACTGCCCTTTCCCGCAGTACCGGCGCTGTGCAGGGTGCGCGCTGCCTGCACCCGAGGTTTTGCGAAGGAATGGTATCTCTGTCACATTTAATGACCTTTACTGACCTTTAATGACATTTACTGACCTTTAATGATCTTTAATAACCTTTAATGACCTTTACTGACCTTTACTGACCTTTACTGGCCTTTCCCGGCAGTACCGGCACTGCCCGGGGTGTGCGCTGGCTGCACCCGAGGTTTTGCGAAGGAATGGTATCTCTGTCACATTTAATGATCTTTACTGACATTTAATGACTTTAATGACATTTAATGACATTTAATGACATTTAATAACCTTTACTGACATTTAATGACCTTTACTGACCTTTACTGACCTTTACTGCCCATTCCCGCAGTACCGGCGCTGCCCGGCAGAGGGCGCTCCCATCAGAGGCGCTCCCCGGGCGCTCAGCGCAGGCCCGCGCATGCGCACACGCACACACAGCGCGGGGGCGCAGACGCGCGGCGGTCGCGGCTGAGGCGGCGGCGGTGGCGGTGAAGGAGAGCGGAGGCCGCTCCGCACCAGCGCTGCCGGCCCTGCCCGCTCCATGCACAAGATGCTGCTGGCCGCGCTGTCGCGGGTGCTGCAGGCGCCGGCGGTCTCCGGGAAGGTGGTGAGTGCGGCGGGGAGGGTGTCCGTGCCGCTCGGGGCAGGCCGGGCGTGCCGCCCTCACCGCCCTGAGGGCTGTGGGAGGAGCGCGGGGCGCGGGCGGAGCGCCGGCAGCACCCGCCGGTTCGGTTCTGACGGCTCAACAAAAAAAAAGAATTTAAGAATAGTAATTTTTAAAAAGAGCTTTATTCCTTCCCCACTCAAAGGTCCCCATTGATAGGAAAATGGTCGCCACGTGAAGGAACTGGCTTTATAAACGCTTTACAAATGGCGCAGGGCTTTAATTGGTATTGTTTATGTGTATTTTGACAGCACAGGTCCCTCAGAGAGATCTGCTCGGCCCCATTGTGGTTCAGTGCCTGACTGAGCTGCTTGTCCTCCCTTTGTCCAGTCAATAGCCACCTTTGATCTATGCATTGATCTTCTTTCAAAGTTTGTTATTTTTTGTCATTAGCGTGACTCATTTTTTTATATTTTATCTCTTTTGTGTGAAAAATCATACTTTCACCACTTCTTCATTCTGCCTATTCTACTGTAATGACTGTGGCCATGAGGAATTATTAACCCTGCTGAGAAAAACCTGTTGGCAAAAGCAGAGTTAAAAGATACCTTTTTTAAACTGGAAATCAGCTGCCTTTTTGCCATGGAGAGCTGATGTACCCCTGTTCTGAGGCAGCTCTGTCACCCAAGCATTCACTGCTTGTGGATGACTGGAGAGAATGACACTGGAATATTTACTGGAAGATCTTATCTATGTTAGGGCTGGATATCTAGGAGTATTTCCAAATTCACAAATAAAATATCTAGATTAAATTTTGCAAATATGGGTGCCCACAATAGGTCCCTTACTACAAGTACTTGGCCTGCTCTGGAGACACTGCATTTTCCTGGAATGCCAAAGTAGATCTGGTTAGGATATCTTAATAAAGATTTTTGGACCCTACTGCTTAMCARATATGTAAATATTTGTCTTGAATTRTTCCTATGCCTCTSTAGTGAAGGCATAAGTTACCAAATAAATAGAAGTAGACTTAATCCATAAAGCAGTGTCTCATATATGCTTTGAGCATTTTCCAGAGTATCCAGATGGATTTCCATGTATGGAAACTGTCACCTGCAGTGTTCTGTTCTAGTTGGATAACAGTTTGCTGACTTCTGCTCCCCTGATTGTTTGCTACAGCTACTTACTGTTTTTTTTCTTTTTTGTCTTCCTTCCAAATGCTGCTAACCTAGGGAGCCATTAGTGAGGTAAGGCCTCAGTCAGTCTTGTCAAGGTTCACTTTTGGTAGGTGTACTGGCCACATATCAGAACTTTTGTTCAGACTCCTCTCAGGGCAGGGGTTTAACCAGAGAGCCTCAAGAGATCCCTCCCAACCCTCAAGACATCCCAGCCATTCAGTGACAGTGCAGATCCCAAACTGGAAGCAGATAAACTTCCAACTTTAGAAGTAAAATATTTTCTTCACTGATAATACTGATGCGTTGTAAATAGTGTAGAAACTTGGTTTAAATTAAAACCTCTAAATACTTAATCTGATAAGGGCCAGGGTGAGTGGGGACACAGTTACTGTAAATCAGGTACACAACAGAGTAGGTTACCAGGATGGGTTGAGAATTTTCTCCCAAGCTTCACGCTTGTCTGTGAGACCTTTCTTTGAGATGGTGACCTGGACATTCTGAAAATTTTGATGGAATGTGCCTTCAGCTAAATGTATGTGAATTCCCTAGCTGAAGGAGCTGCTGACATTTTTGTGTAACTTAATCAGCAGTACAGTCTTGCCACTAAAGATGTCGTGTGTTCCTTACGCTGTGGCCACAGCACATGGACAAGGCCCATCCTGTCTGATGCTGCAGTGAAATTTGCTGAAGTCATTGAAAATCACCCCCATTCATTGGTCAATAGACTGTGTTCATTCTTTAAGCGGGATCACTAATGTATTTTTAAATATTTTTCTTGTCTCCCCCCACCATGCCACTCTTTCTGTTCCGTGTTTCATGTATCCTCAGGTACTTTCTGTGTTTCCACATCATTTTTAAGTAGTGGCCGTGCTGTTATTGAAATGATGCACTCTTCATTGATACAGCTTTGAATCCTCCTAATTTCTCTTCCTATCAAAAAGAAAGAGTGAGAGTATTCATATTTCAGATAGCTGCTGGGTTTTCTCTTTGATTGGTTTTAGGATTCTGTCTTGTTCTATCAAGGCAGAATTCCAGTCAGCACAGACAGCAATCAGGTTTTTTGTTGGCTGCCTCTCCTCACATTGTCAGCCTGGCATGTGAAGGGAGAAACAATTATTTTGACACTTTTCAGTGTCAAAGTTTTGAAACTTATTTAGTTTATTTTAGATAATAAAGGGTATTACAAATTGAATTTCTTCACTCTTTTTCTAATCTTAGTTTTAAATACTGGGTTTTAAAGGACTTTAATATATGCATACAGAATGAAAGTTCCCTAGTCTTGCGGGATGTGCCACTGGTGAGTCTGATTCATAAGTTATTTCAGTTTGGGGTACTCTAAGAAATTATTTGAAAGTTCACAAACTTTTACTTGATAATTACATATAAGTTTTGCTCATGTTTTGGTTTTGTCTTTTTTTTTAAGGCCTTCCGAGTGATGGTAGCATCACGTAATTATGGAGACTTTGCAAGTGAAGCTACGTTTGAGATCAAGGTAAAGAAGAACATTTAATACTGGCATTCTGTSTAAGCATTTGTTGCAGATCTTAACCTGATGGAGCTGTCCCCATATCTCTTTCAGTTAGAAAAATCAGGTTTGAATTTCCAGCACCAAATCTCTCACTATCTGACCTGATTACTAAGTGCAGCTGGAAGTACTGTTTGGCAGTGTGTAGTAACGTTACTTGCTTCTTAAGAATGTGAAGTTGTGATTTTTTGCAGCTGTGATATTGCAATGCAGCTGTGAGAACAGAGTCAGAAAGAAGCTAAAGAACCTTTTCTGTTCTGTTCCAATGTTTCCTTAATGCTTTAAAAACAACCAGGAGTTTGCAGCCTATCCCAAAAATGCAGCTGATTGAGGTCTGTATGGGTTTTTGAGGAAAATATGTGGCATCCTTTCAATGCTTGATTTGGTGCTGCTTGAAAAATCTGTTTTATATTCTGCCAGCTTTCCAGTGTGGCTGGGTTTTAGGAAAAAAATTATGTTTCTATTGGCATTTGCTTTTGTGTTGGTGTTTCATTTAGGGTCTGATGAAAGAAAATCTGAAAGAAATAATTTTGGTTATTTTCCACCCTCACCCTGTTTGTCTGTGAAGTATGACAATTGCTTCACAAGTGGAAGGGAAGGAATATATGTTCTATGAAAAAACTCTTTTTTGACTAAATATAAGGTTTAATGTTTGGTCCTGTGTTGATGACAAAACTCCAGAGTTTCTGTTGTTGTGTGAACTTGGAAGCAGAGTTGTCTTGAGTAGCGTGCCCAGATGTTATATCCAGTTCATGTAAGTGTCAGTGGATTTGCTCTGGAGAGACTTTTGCTTTGATATAAACTGTCTTTAACCTATATAGAAGTATTTTGACCATTTAATCTGCACTAACAGAGCAATTTGTTTGGTTTCTTCTAAACTGTTTGTTTATTTATAGCAGAGGGCCACATGGTACAAACCATTTTACAGTGGAGACTCAATCTTTCTTATCTCTTCACTAAGCCTCTGTAGCTCCTACCAAGTATTTGGACTGCAACAGCTATGGAAGTGTTCTTTTTTTCCATATTTTCTGAGGACTTTAGCTCATCTTCTGCTTGTAGGAACAACAAGGTTTCATTTTGCAGTTGGAAATCTGTCTTCATTAAAAGTAAGGGGTTTATTCCCTGGAATTTTGAAATTGCACAAACTTTACAGTTCTGACCTATGAATTTAGATTTTGCTGGCTGTCTTTTTAAAAAGAATTAGACTCTGAGTTTGAAAATGGCAGATAATAAAAAAATCAAGTATTATTCATAACTAGGATGAATGATTTTCAGGAAATGTCTTGTTGGACTTTGCAGAAATGTGACCTGCATCGCCTGGAAGAGGGGCCAGGCACCACGGCAGTGATGACTCGAGAGGAGGGGCTCCATTACTACAAGACCATGCAGACCATTCGGCGCATGGAGCTCAAGTCTGACCAGCTCTACAAGCAGAAAATCATTCGTGGCTTCTGCCACTTGTATGATGGGCAGGTAAAAACATTTCTCCAGGAGGTATTACATTGTCCCTTAAGGGAGGGATTTTAATAGAGTGGGGAATGTAGACCTGAGTATCTGTGTATATCATGAGAGGAGGGGGAGGAGAGACACAGACAGGGAAAGGCACAGTGCAAATGAAGACCAGCTGAATGTGGAGAATGAGCAGTTTGAGCAGGTTTCATTGATGCTTTTTGTTTCTGTATCTTGTGGATCACGTGCCCACTAAAAAGCAACAGTCAGAAGAAACTTCATTAAGTTTTTGAAACTTTGCTGTCTGTCCATTATCCCCTGATGTTTTTGAATTGTGGTTGTTGAGATACTTCATTTAGAGGGAAAATTCTCCAGATTTTTGCAGATTCCAGTTCCCTTCCCATGTGCCTTTGCTAGTTAATCAGGTTGGAATTTAGAGCCCAAGGCTGTTGTAGCTCTGGGCCTGCCATCAACCCTTGGGGTTTGAGTCAGTCTCATGTATGTGTGCCCTTCCTGTGACCTGCTGGTATTTGATGTGTGTGGGACAGTGGGAGCTGTGTGTTTCTCTCCATTGCTAATCTCTGTCCTTGTCCTTTGTTCCAGGAGGCTTGCTGTGTGGGGCTGGAGGCTGCCATAAAGCCTACAGACCATGTGATAACAGCATACAGAGCCCACGGCTTTACCTACACCCGAGGAGTGCCTGTCCGGGAGATTCTGGCAGAACTTACAGGTTTGTGCTCACTGAACTGAGGATTCACTTGCTGCTGTGAAAGTGTCAGAATTCTGTGCTCAGATTCACAGTGATGTGATGCACAAAGTCTGCTGGGCCTTCAGAAGCAGTATAGTGACATAGAATAAATCAGTGTTTTCATTTTATGATGCAGCCACTTTTTTACTGTGAAAAGTAACAAATAGGGAATATTTAAGTGCTAATACTTCTAAAGCACAAATTAATGATTTTTTTTCTTGTTACCATATTGTTACCATATTCATTGTGCTGCAGCAGTTTTGAACTTGCTGATGGTTGGCATTTGTTCTAGTGGGACAGGGCATTACCCTCCACAGGAGATAGACCTGGATTTTCAGAATTATGCTGAAGTCTTAGGAAGACTGGTTAAAATTGTCTATAATGATAAACCGAATGGTTTGGGACAATTTGACTGTAACAAGAATATTAAATGATAATTTAGACAGAGATCTTGCAGAAAGGAGAGATGGCTGTCCACAATAGGGTTGAGGATGGAGCAGAAAAGAGAAAAAAGGATCAGTCTGATGAACTCTTATGAGATCTGTGAGCATGTGCCAGAAGTGAAAAATGAGCAAGGAGCTTGAAGGCCTTTATTGATCATTATTATAATAAAGACTCGATCTGAGAATCTGCATGCTTGAAATGTTAATATAGGAAAGCATGTTTGGGGTCAGAGAAGAGAGAACTAAGAATTGTGTGTGCTAAGAATTCATAACAGTGATGTGCACAGCTTGCCAAGTATCTTTGGGTACTGGTAAGACAGAAGGTAAATGAGAAGATTGTCATGACTGAGTCAACAATTGGCCCTGAAACTACAAATATGAGTGATAATGTGGTGGGGTTTTTTTCTGTATGTCATAAAATGACACATATAATCTTCTGTAATATTAGGCTTGACTTTATTGGGGCTCGTTTAATTGGAAAGGAGTGGCTGCAGTACAGAGACTGTTCCAGGAAATGACACTTGGGGAATATTCTTAGAAGTGCTGCTAGAGCCTATTATTGTGAAGAAAGATCTGGAGTAAAAATGACAAACTGAAAGTCAGCTTGGGTTACAATGACCAGGAAATKWCAAAATTTTAAAAAATCTTKGAAGGAGAGGGAAGCAGAGTCACCCAAAATAAGACCAGTAGATAAGATCCTACAGGAAACAATCCATAGAAAAGGGCTTCTCAGGAGAATTGACAGTTGCTTCAGAAACAGGTTTTTGTACTAAGTAGGAAACGTAACAAAAGGTGACATTGGTTAATCAGGAGTTCTTAAATACATTCTAAAATACAAGAAAGGATTGTACAAAAGTGCAGGGAGCTTACTAAAGGTATATTCACTTAATCATGAAACCACTTATCTTAAAATTACACTTTTTTTTTTCTTTGGCCCTAGCTGGCAGAATCTGTAACAGCTCTCATGAAAGGAATTCATAAATATATGAAAGGCAGGAGAAAGACCAGTAATAGAAATGATCCACTCTTAAGTAAGAAAGAGGAGTACAAATTTCAGAAAGGGACCCACTTCTAAAAATAAAACAAAGGCAAATGCTAAAAACTCAACCTGACAAGCTGTGCTTATTAGAAATAAAAATACATTCTCCTGTGGATAGTAACAAGACAGATGAGAATAGGAATTGGAATGTGCTGATGAGAAATTCTGTGTTCTTAGATGAGCTCTTTTAAATAGGGTTTATTGTAATGCTTCATGAATCACTGGTTATCTTCAAACTGCAGCTTCAAAAGCTGGGCTGCGTGACTTAGGTTTACACTGGGGTGGAATGGGGAGCTGGTAGTTGTTCAGTTCTTTTCAGTGTCTTATTTGTAATTTTTGCTTGTGGTTATTGTCAAAGGGAAGCCAAATCTAAATTACGGCAACTAATTTGTAACAGTATTCTTACCTTTCTTGCAGAAGCCTAAAGTAAGAATGTACTTTTTGCAGATTATGTATATGAGACCTTCTTGTCTATGAGAAAAACACCCCATATTTATCTGAAAGTGCTTTTCTATAGTAGGACACTGAAACTTTTGGTTGGTTTTAAAAGTTCTTCTTAATCTTACCTGTATTTCCAGAATTATTTTTTCATTATTGTTCCCTTCCCCCCCCTCCTGTCTTCTCTTACATGTTTTTTTGAGATATTTGTGAAATTGTATGAGACAGGTCATCACTCCACACAGATCTAATGGCAAAGACATGGTCTTACTGTTGCTACCTTTAGGAACTGAATTGGATGTTCTCATTTGTATAGTATTTTTCTTCCAAAATATAACTTGCTTCTTATTCATGTTTCAGGTCGAAAAGGAGGATGTGCAAAGGGAAAAGGAGGATCAATGCATATGTATACCAAAAACTTCTATGGTGGCAATGGAATTGTTGGTGCTCAGGTATAAACATGATTTCTGTTTTATAGCACAAGCTGATTTTAGCTCTTGTTGCCAGTGTTTCAGTTTTTGTTGTGTATGAGTTTGTGTGCAGATACCATTGCTCTGTGGCTGTTATGTCTTACTCTGGTGTTCTCCCCTTGTGTAAACTGTAGCAAAAATGAATCAAATTGAGACTACAGTTCATGTTTATAGTTTGGCTGTAAGACCATTTAGAACAAAGGGAGGTGGCTGGGTAACAATTTGTCGAGCAAGTCTCTAACAGTCTAAACATCTCCTTAGAGTTCACAAGCTGCCTGTCTTCA